TAATCAAAGTTTTTTTTAGTATATCTAGTTCCACCAAACCTGTTACAAATTAAGCATCTGAATGAAAGATTGAAGAGCTGGTAGCAAGAATGAAAAGCCTGCTGTTTATGAAACTCCAGAGGCCTGAGGACAGCAAAGAAAGGAAGAAAAAATTCTAAACTTATGGGCAAACAAAAATACCAAAGGAAGTCAGGAGTATTGAACTTCTGTTCAAAGTGTGATGGGGTAGAGGGGTCATTTTTTCTCCGTTTTATTGAAAATGATAGGTGATAGACAGACACAAAATCTGGGTTCCCTTCTATTCTTGATATGTATTTTTGAAAACCTCAAATTTGAATACAACGGTTTCCTTATAAGGAACACAGATACAATACAGATACAGTCTGTATCAATACAGTGTTTACTTTATCAATTATAAATATTTCTCATCACGGTGACTTGGGGTAAATAAATTCTGGAGTTAAAAAAAATCACTTCAATGATAAACGGACCATCTTGGCATCTTGTTATCTCAGAATGAATCTCAATGCTCACAATTCCCAGCTAATGTTGGAAAAGAAAATTAATGGTAAGGAGCTCAGTCCACCTGGAAAGTTTTAGAACCAGAGAGAAAGAATCGGAAGTCAAAGTTTGAGATAATCACAGTTTTTACTACCTTAATCTGGCCTGTTTTTCTTTCATGTAAAGTTTGCAAGGATTCCATTGGGAAATTCAGTTCCAAGATGATTTGATGAAAAGTCAAAATTGAACTTTTCAATTGGTGCGGTTATTTGCAGGGGATTTTTTACTGATGCGAGAAGGATCAGGTCTCAGTGATGGCCAGTGGCAGAAGATCACTTGAGACTTTCAAGAAGAGATTGGACTGCCATTTGTCAGAAATGGTGTAGGGTCTCCTGCTTGGGCAGGGGGTTGGACTAGATGGCCTATAAGATCCCTTCCAACTCTGATTATCTGTTAGATCAACCAGTTAGAACGAATTTAGAAGAATCTGTTTGGAGCAACCTGTAGGACCTAATGATGAAGTGAACCTAATCGATGCAGAAAAAAGAATGCAAGGTTCAATGGGTGGCAGTCCAGGTTCTCGTGTCAGCTGTTTCTCACTTTCCATCCTACAGACCCTTGGCAAATGCCTTCCACTCCAGATGTAAAGAAGACATTCCCTTACCCCCTCCAGATGCTTCTTTAAAACCTCCCCTTCCACACCGTATCCCTGGAATCTGTTTTTCTTAGCTAAGTACTTGCAAATATTGGCTGAGATAACACTGTAGTTCCACTTAATCTTGACATTCATGGCATTTTCTTTGCAGTTGTCAGTCAAATATGTTTTGGTCAAATAATTGTAGGGCTGTTAATCAATGAAAACACAGCATGTTTTCTTTCTTTGAATGGAATGATTAGGCTGAAAGGGGAGAATGTTCTCTGGAAGATAATGCATGCCTGTGTCACAATGAGCACTTTGGAAATAAAACCATCCTTATTGTGGGAGGAAAAAGATATAACTTCTTTAGCAACAAATAGGTGTAACTCCTTAATTTAAAACAAGTCACAATTCTAAATAAGCTGGTTATTTTGAAGTCATCTAATTGATAATACAGAAGTTTATTCTAAAATAACTTGTCATTATGGTCCAAGACCAGCTGTCATTCATTTTTTTCCCAGAAGGAACACATGGACGTTGCAAATTTGCTAAATGACTGGATGATATTGATGGCTATTTGTTGGTAGTTTTACAGATCTGGACTTCACGGTACAAAAGCATATTACAAATGAGAAGGAGGAGAAATCAAAATCCTGAAGTCTTCCTTGCTACTTATGTCTAGCTTGGTATTTGGTTATAATCTCCCTTTCTTAAAACATCTGTATTAAAATCTATGATGCGATCAGAGGTTCAGATGCATGCATCTGCCTTGCTATTCAGTTTTCAGGGAATGTGAGAGAGAGAGAATGAATGATGAGGGAAAGAGGGAATTTTGTCCACATATTTTTCATGTAAAGGAACAGCCAATGATCTGTCCACTGGGAATACATTCAATTCAGTCATTCTCCTTGCTTTGTAAATCTATTCCTTCAGAGGTTTGCTAGAAAGGCACACAAATCAAGTGGGCAGCATTCCATTTTCACTTCTGCTTTGCTCATTGGATCCCTCTTCTTACCCTGCTGGAGACAGCACCAGAATTTTTTGAAAACTAATATTTTAACAAAATTTATTTTGTATCATTAGCATATTGCTGAGATTTCCCATTATTCATGCTACATGCTGTTGGGTCAAGCTGTCTTCCACCATTTCTGCTTTTCATTCTGCAGGCCTCAGTGTGGCAGTAGAAGAACAAGATGTGACTTGGTCAGGCAAGGGAATGCATTTCAGATTTATCTCCACTTCAGTGAAAACCTGTTTTAGAAAGCCTGCCTGGGATATAATGGCTGAATGCATGAACTGTGAGCCAGGAAATCCCAAGTTGAGATCCCAACGATCAGGAGGTCCTGCCTGAGAGGTCTACACCTCACACTTAGCTCTTTGTCTGCAGTCAGCAGTGGCCAGAACAACTTTTGAATCTTTGAGGCAGGTTGCATGTAGCAACCTGTTGGAGCATTTAAGGAAAACACAAGCATGTCCCAAAGATGAGATTATCAGATATTAAGATATGTTCTGCTCTGCTGAGGGGAAATTCAGGGTCAGCCATTACATTTCATAAGTGTAAGAACTCCTGGACTGGGGCTTCCTCCAACTGTTGCTCTGGAATAACAGAAGCTCCAGGAATATTTCCATAGGATATTTCTGACCCCATTAGCAATCTCTCACATCCGGAGATAAAGGCAAAAAAAGGAACACGCCCTTCCCATCTGCCCTCATTGGAGGAGGAGGAGGAGCAGGAGGATAAAATTTATACTTATTTGGGGGGAAATGGTTGGACCAACTGTTAGGTTAAAATGCATTTGAAATTCTTAAGCTTTCTGGGTTTTTTTTTTTTTAAAGTAAAGTAATTAAAGTCCTTTTTCAGTGCACTGAAATAATTTTTCTGAGCAAAGAGAAAAACATTTTTGGGAGATAATCTCATTCAATTCAGAATGAGCAAAGAGGAAAGATATTTTTTTTATGGGAGTAAGGAATAAAATGGCATGAAGTCAGAAGCAGGGAAAAGTTAACCACCACCCCATAAAAAAGGGGGCAGAGAAATAAACAGGGAAACCATTTTCTTTCTCACTTATAAAACTGGAATCGGACTCACTCAGGGAAGCTGAAAGGTAAAGTGGTTGAGAATAACCAAAAATGCAAAAGTCAACGATGAAATTCATATTGCACAATAAAGGGATGAGCCACAATGCAGCGGCCTTGCCTTAAAAGGAAGTAGGATTCTCTTGGATTTGTATTTAGTCACTGTGGAATGAATTGCTAGGGATGATTGATGCCATCCATTATGTTTCTCTTGGGTCAGAGCCAAAGATTGGAATTGGGTTGTGCAAATGAACCAGTCCAATAATATTAGACCACAGGGCTCCATTGTTCCTTTCATCAGCAGCGAAGGACTAATGCAAACAGTTGTTATTTGTAATAGATCCTATAATTATTAATTGCATGTAAAAATGCGTGAAAACCAATACTGGCTTCAGCATCAGGAAATGTTTATTGTACTACATTGATTGCAAGATCTGTAAAAGATGGCTGCGGTTTATCCTTCAATGCCACATAGACTCTGTTACCAACAGGCCGGAGGATACAACCCACTCGATGGCATACAACCAAGCACACGCCCAGAGTAGCTCAGAAAACTCAGCCCGTTTTTCTTCAGGGGAAAAAAAAGAAAGAAAAAAATTGCATTCTGACCTGTGCAATATTGGAATATACGTCCAAAGCAGGCTTTTAAAATGTTGCATTGAACAAAAGAACGACTACAAAAAGCCTAGAATGCCACTCTGGAAGTTGGAAGTAAATGCCTGTCTTCATAGACTGCCCCTTCCAAGAATCCGTGTTATTAGAAAGCATTTCTGCTGTCTCAGCTCCATGGCACCAACAGGGTCTTCCTTGGAAATCAATGATCCAACCTCTTGGTAGCCCTGAACAAAAGCACTCTTGGTGCGGCCTAGGAGTTTCATCCATACGTCGAATCAAATTGAGGTTTTTGTCAGTTCTACCACTGCAGGCGTTAAGAGTTATCTAATTTTTCTGCCATCTGAATTTTCTACCATCTATTTTTTTCAAGCTTCCAAGATCAAAACCATACTCAATCTGTTTTGGAATTACTGCTTCCAAGCACTATGCCCTGCACTGATTGGCATTTTTGACTACTTTTAACCCATCCATTTTAGTTCTAGGCATACTAACCATCTTGTTACATTCCTGTTCTTAGGAAATGTACAAGTGTAAAAACTGTCCTCCTCCAGATGTTGCTTGCCTACAACTCTGAGCAGCCATAATCCACATGGCCAATTATGAGGGATGGTGGGTTCAGAAACATCTGGAATACCACAATGGCCGATGGCATTCCTGCATGAAATGAGATGTCTAGAAATAAAGAACCTAAAAAAGATTATATGCATTTACATGGAACATGTAAGATGTTCCAGAATAACTTTTTATTATAGTCCAAGAATATACCATGAACTTTATATGTCCACCATTTATAGGTATCTAGCAATTACATGTGAATAAATGCAGACTTTATATCCCAGGAGTCATACTGGAACATCCAGATGTGTTTTTTTAGGATCATGTCATGTTTATGTCTATCTTACTTGAACTTGAAACTGGACAGATGAGGGAAAGCTTTAAGGGATGCAGAATCATAATAATAACAAACTTCGTTTGTGAAATAATCACAAATAACACATGGAAGCTACAAAACAATATGGACTAAGTCTAGTAGAAAAGAGCTTCACAAAAAGGTCTTGTGTTAGATTTTGTTGAACAATCTTTTCCTTTTTCTGGGTTCAATTTTCATATAACATATACTCTTCTTTATAAAATAAAAAGTTATAGTGTTTTTTCTTCTTCTGCCCAACAGCTGAAACCAGACGAAAGGGTCTTCAAGACAGAATACGGGCTGCTAATCCGTAGCTTGCAGAAGAAGGACACTGGGACATATTACTGCAAGGCACAGGAACACACGTTTGTCCACACCATCGTGAAGTTGAACTTGAATGTCATCGAGAATGGACAGATGGAGAACAGTCACAGAGTGGAAGAAGATCCAAGCCGGACGCGAGATCTGCAGGCCGAGTCCCGGCTGAGATACAAAGATTATCTCCAGCTGCTTAGCAGTCCCAGCTTCAGCTTGGACGAGTACTGTGAGCAGATGTGGCACCGGGAAAAGAAACGGCAGCGTAACAAAGGCGGCCCAAAATGGAAGCACGCTCAAGAGATTAAGAAGAAACGGAACCGAAGGCACCACCAGCCCTCATCCACATAGCTCCTAGGTCTTATTTAAGAGACTGTTGTGCCATGCTTTTGTTGTTGTTGTTGTTGTGGGCTTTTTTCCAGCAATGTTGCTTCTCAAAGAGCACATCATCATCACTAAGGTATTTGAGATCTTTGGACAAATACGCCATTAATGGAGGAAAGCCTTCGGGATTTGTATGTTCTTCAGTTCTGAACTGAGATAAAACAATGTTCTATAAAGTTCCTTGAAAAAGGAGATCCAGTGGCTTGCTTGCTTCCACATGGTTGAACGAAAGGCCTGAGGATTGAACTATTAGGCTCAAGGAAACTAAAAGTATATGTGTGGCTGTCAGGCTGTGGCTAGATTTCTTCTAGCCATCCATGTAGCCTTATCCAGACCACACTTTGGGTCCACTCAGCTGCACCCACAAATGTCCTGGCTGGAATGGACACGCGAGAAATGCCTTGAATTGGGGAAGAAGAGCAAGGCTTCATATGTAAAACCAGTGTAATCTTAGCTTCATAGAAAGAAGGTGGACATGACTGGCAACCAGTTTGACAGCTGTCTGTTGAAAAGATACACTGATGCAGATTGGAACTGCCAACAGGGAAGACAATTGAGCAAAAGGTTGGACTAGAAGACCTCCAAGGTCCCTTCCAACCTATTACTCTATGTTCTCATAACCAGGAGGCAAGTGGGTGGCTAACGCAGGATTCCTTTTAGTAAGGACAGGATTTCTGGCAACACCTGTTTTCTTTGGAAGATATTTTTTTCTCCCTCTTCTCTGCGTCTCTCTCGCCCTGACGTGTTGACTCTTTGGCTGCTTTTCAAATGTCTCTTTGACATGAAATCTAGTCTGATTAAATCTACCGGCAAAAGGAGGGAAGCAGCATTGTTGAGAAGATGTGGGGAAAACAGCTTTTCCCCCAGTATGTTAGAAGCGGTAGCACATTGGTGGAAATTGTGTTTTATATTTTTATTAAAATAAAATGACAACAAAGTCCATGTGCAAATAATGCGCACAAAAGAGACGGGCAGCTTCAACAATTTTGTAAAATATTCTCTTTTTAAAAAAAAAAAAAACTTTGTAACTTTTCGCTGCTTAAATGATTGGCATGTTTTTGCAAAAGGACGCCTTATTTTCAGTGGGCCGTTACTCTCAAGCAGACAAATGGAACAGGCCAGCCAAAGTTACAAACCTGGTTTCACGGAAACTGGTTTGTAGCATCAGGAGTGAGACCAAGGAGAACCTGGTTTGCTGATTTTTCAGGCTGTTTTTGCACAAGCGTTGTCTTCTTGACGCCAATTCTCCATCTGTTGCCCTTACCTCACCTAACGTCCTGCTTTTCATGCCTTTTGTTAGTGTGAAATGACAAATTAGCCATTTTCCTTACACGGAGGAAGGTTTTGATTGATACCAAAAATGACAGGTTTTTCTTATTTCTCATGTGTTCTCTTTCATCTTGGGAGTAAATTTTGTGGGAAATCCATGTAATTGGCGTGGCAATGAAACGGAGACTGGTATTGGCTCCCAGCTTTGGGGGAAAAATAGATGCTTCCTTATATACTTCCTATATTTGTGTGTGTAAAGTTTTTTTATTAATAATTGTGTGATCATATTCTGCCTTGGAAGTTGGGTAAAGGGCTGCCTCTTTTGGAGGGAGGGGAATATATGCGCTCGTGAGCCATTTGGCCTTGCATTTGACCTTGCATTCAAATATCTAATATTTAAGCATTGCTGGAGCCCAAATCCAAATTGACTAAAAAGTGTTACTGGAATAAAATACTGCTAAACATCCCTATCATGAAGGTCAACTGTCCAACCCAATGCAATTTGGAACAGGGGGGATTTTTTTTTTTTTTTGTAAAACAAGAGATTTTTATAAAACAGAACAGAAAAAGCATTGAGGTCAGATGGGGATTTAATTAAAATATGTTGCAGGTGGATAGGATGAAATCAGGGCATCCAAATAGCTCAGTGGCTCCTGCGTAACACAGTGAAACTCCCATGCAACTCCTATTTTAAAAACTAAGTGGGGGTTAACTATTTCAGCTATGTTTGTATGTTGTGGTCCAGGTTACTGGGTAAAAAAACATCCATGAATAAAATAAAACCGCAAGTAACTCTGGGGGTCATTATGGGCTCCCTTCATTGCTTTAGCTTGGTAGTATAAATTTAAAAAAAAATAGCGTGATTTTATTTCAGTGGGATGAAACTGAGATTAATAGTATATGCAGTAGAGCTGGGATTTCTTTGACGCAAATTGTATGTGTCATTTTACAAAGAGTGGATTTTGAAAGACAATGAAAATGTGCGTGAAATTGATATATCACAGAGATGACTTAATTTCCCTGTTTTTTAGACTAGATCATCCTAGCCTTCTTCCTAAAACTGGACTGGCCTACAAACAAACCTTCCTATTTTTCTGCACAGAAAATCCACTCTTCTGTGAGTCCCACTTGTGCTTGGATACTGGCAGTCCATAGGCATCCCTCCCCAAGCACAAAATTACAAAGTACGTTTATGACATCACAGGTGGTACTTTCATGTCCCTTTCATGGCTTCGGTTACCAGGACAACACCTGCTTAACTCCTTGAGGTGAGCCAAAGCGAGCCAGGGCCTCCCAGCTAGACGGGCATGAAAAGAAGTAAAAATACAACAAAGGGCATTTTGTTGCCTGAAATGACGCAGGATTTTTTTTTTTAAAAAAAAAAAAAACTTTAAAGCACGTTGAAGTTATAAAATAGTGGAAGTGTTGAGATGATGTGTTGTCAGATTGAACACAGCCCAGGGTGGAAAATAATCTGTTAGGAGACAAAGGCTCAGGGGAAACGAGAGAGTACAAAAAGCCTTTGGACCATTTGGAAACCCAAGAATGAATGGAAGACTGGTGTGTTTCGGTTCACAAGTCATTAGTTTTGCTTCAAGTGCATGCTTTGAGCGTCTTCATATGCACACCAGGGCAAGGAATGAATCTAGAAGCGTGTTTGATATGACCGTTTTTGACAAAGCCTGCAAGGATTAGTGAAGGAGGCTCCAAATATGGGAAGAGTCTGTATCCAAAGTGAAGTTAAGAAAATGAATGGATGAAGAGGAAAAAGAAAAGAAGGAAGAAAAGAAAACATGAGACCTGTTTGTAAGTTAATCCTTCAATGGAATAACTGGAACTCGAACAAAAGCAAAAAAGGTTGCTTTGAAACAAAGTGAAAAGAGTTTATCATTCTGGGAAAAATGAAAAGGGTGATTTCTGGAATGCTGACCTGTAGATAAAGAAAAATACAAGAATGATTGTAGCAAAAATGAATATGTAAAATAGCTGTCATTGAAACGAGAGCAAGCAAAGTGGATTCTCCCACTTTTAAGAACAGATTAAAAGTGGGAGAAAAAAATAATGCAATGCTATTTATAGAAAAGTTCTCAAAAAAAAAAACAGTTAAACTTGGGCCAGATGTTCCATGGAGATGAAGATTTTCAAAAAGCTCAGGCACAGCCAATTGCTTCTCATCCTTTATAGATGGACAAGAGAGATAATTGGCCCATGAATGCCAAGACGTGTCCTTCACCAAGTTGTAACTTTGGAAGTGGAGGTCAAGAAGCAACGGATGGAAACTAATCAAGGAGAGAAGCAACCTAGAATGAAAGAGAAATTTCCTAACAGTGAGAACAATTCCCCTATGGAGCAGTTTGCCTCCAGAGGTTGTGGAAATCTCCAACACTGGAGGCTTTTATGAAGAGACTGGACAGCCATTTGTCTGGAGTGGTATAGGACAGGGGCCCTCAAACTTAGCAACTTTAAGACTTGTGGACTTCAACTCCCAGAATTCCTCAGCCAGTTTAGAGACATCTGGTATAGGGACTCCTGACTGAGCAGAGGGTTGGACTAGAAGACCTCCAAGGATCCTTCCAACTCTGGTATTCTGGTATTCTGTTAAGGACAAAGAGTAATAAAAGTTTTATTGAGAAACTGAAGAATGCAAGATTCAGCCTTGAAGCTGCAGGTGGATACTACAGCAGACGGGCCAAAAACTATTGAATTCAAACAAGAATAATTTTGGAATTAATCAAGGACTTCATGAATGAAAAGAAGCCACAATCCCATCTTAAAAACAACTAATTTTGCAACCAATCATCTGGAAAAGCGTGCCTATTGCTTCATCAGTTTCCCCAAGTTTCACCAGCTGAGTGTGGAAGGAATGAAGTTTGAAAAGTGAAAAACTCTGAGAGAAAGGGGAAAAAAATCTAAGAGAAATAAACAGAGAGATTTCAAATTGCTTTCTGGCACCAGTTCTGCAATATTTTTCACAAACCTACACTGAGGGAGGAGCCAATTAAGCTGAAGTTTTTCATTCTGTCTCGAAAGGTTTAAAGGGGTCAAACATTATAGACAATTAGTGAAATATCTGATGCTCTGGGTTGTTTCTAATTATCAGCCTTTCTGCAGAACTAAATAAATTCTCCTATATTAAGAAAATCCTATAAAGTTGACTGTATTCTTGGTGTAGATGGAACACGAGAAACTTGAACAGCAGCACCAAAAAAAAAAAAAAAGGGGAGGGGGGGAAACCAAGAGAAAAGAAAGAATTCAGGGCTTTTTTAAAAAAAAAAACAACCCAGTGGTTTCCAGAAAAAGGCAAGAGGAGAATTTCATCCCCTGGACTAACCACTATGTCCCTGGTCAGCTGGGGATGAATTGGCCTCCAGATTTCATGAGGCTTCACAGCTGTTGTTAACTCAGGTGGTATACCACATTAATATATAATAAACCTTTTGTCTTCTGACTACAATTTGTTTACAAGTAGTCCTTAATTTAAAGGGACACAGTGTCTCAATGGCAAAGACACTGAGCTTGTCGATCAGAAAGGCCCACAGTTCGGCGGTTCGAATCCCTAGCGTCACGTCATGAAGAGCTCCCCTTACTTGTCCCAGCTTCTGCCAACCTAGCAATTCGAAAGCATGAAAAAAATGCAAGTCAAAAAAGAGGGACCCCTTTGGTGGGAAGGGAACAGCGTTCTGTGCACCTACGGCATTTAGTCCTGCCAGCCACATGACCACAGAGATGTCTTCGGACTGCGCTGGCTCTTCGGCTTTGTAACGGAGAAGAGCACTGCCCCCTAGACCCAGAAACGACTAGCATGTATGTGCGATGGGAAGCTTTACCTGGTCCTTAATTTACAACCAGTTGCTTAGCAACTGTTCAATGTTACGACAGACTTCCCAAGAGCTACTTATGACCCAGTATCAAAGTTTCAATGGCTGGCCCCCATACACACATACTTTCCCCCAAAGTTGCTTACAAAATATAATCATTACCACAAGCTTGTTGAAGGTGTATATTTTGGGGGTGGGGGTGTACTCCAGAATCCTTGAACTCAGGAATCTTACCCAAGCAATCATTAGCAAGTCAGGTTTTACAGCTACAACAGAAATGAGACTTATTTCTTGAAATGTGTTGTGGGGATGAGCAAAACAGCCATCTATGTAACTATAGTAGAAGAAATGCTCTTCTGCCAGAAGAGCAGAAGAAATGCTCAACCAGAAGAAATGCTCAAGAGCATCTACTCTAAGCTTAGGTAGAAGAACCAAAGGCATCGACTTCAGATTGGCCATCTCTTCGACCCCGATGTTGGGAAAGAGGGAAGGCCAAAGGAAAAGGGGACGCAGAGGACAAGACAGTTAGGCAGGGTCATCAACGCAAATGAACGTGAATTTGGGCAAATTCTCAGAGATGATGGAGGATGTGGGGGGAGGCTGATCATGCTGTAGTCCATGGGATTGCAAAGAGTCAGACACAACTTGGCGGCTAAACAAGATGAAAAGCGGGGGGGGGGGGGGGGGGGAGAAGAAATGCTTAGCTCTCTAGCTGCCCCCCACAGCCTCCCCTTTGGCAGTGGGTCAGGGGTTGCTAAGGCGTCAGAGGCAATGGAGCCAGCGTTCCCACCAAACCCAACATTGGGATAAAGTCCACAGCAGGGGGGAAAACCTCAGCATTACCAGGGGTGTCCTCTGCTCCAGAGTAAGCCAAGGTGCCTCTGCCACCACAAGGTGCCAGGGGGAGAGCCAGGCTGTAGAGGAAGCGGCCCAGTGAGGAGCCGGTTCTCCTGATGGGGAACTGAGGGGCTGGGCTGGGCTGTAATTATCCGCCATTATCCAAGAGTGCAGCTCTAGAGCAAGAAGGCGGAATGTATGGGGGTGTTTAATTTGGCATGAAGAATATAGTGGGGCTTTTTTCTTTTTTTTAAAAAAAAGATGGAATTATGGACAAGGATAAGCAATAAGGGGAATGCAAAGGGAGACTGGCATTCTCCTCCTGGTTTAGGTAAGAGGTAGGGAGATTGTTACCAGGTGTTTTCATTATTAAATGTATACGACAATATGACAGCATAAAAATAGCCTTGTCAGAAACACAGGTAATTTTTCAATGGTTATTTTTCTGCCTTGTTGCATTTTATAAGTGTACAGTGGGATGGGAGGCCTTGGTGTTTATCTTGGAGCTGCTAGAAACACAGATTCAGTCAAAAAATTTAGCTGAAATACAAGTCCAGATCACCACAACTGCACAGAGAAGGGAAAAGCCATGTTTCTGTCCACCTGCTGTCATTTTTCCTTTTAAATTAGGAAAATGTTTACACAATCCTACAAAGGCCACACTTTTACAGATGGATCAATCAACTGGAACTGTTGCAAATGGAGTTTTAAAAGCAACATTGAAGTACACTCTCTGGGTGTGACTGATGTTTTGTTTGGAAAGGAAAGGTTGTGGAAATAATTAGACTGATTTTCACAAGGCTAAGAGGTTGCAGCAATTAAATAAAACCTGGAAAAGGTTCTTATGGACATGAAAAGTGTAACAAAAAAATAACTTTCAGGAGCAGTTTTGAATATCACAGAAATAAATTGAAGTGGGGGGGAAGCACTTCTTGCAACAACAACAAAAAAAAACAACCAGTTCCAGATCTTTAAACTATAGTCAAGATAATATTGATGCCCCCAGTTCAATATATTAGAGAACTTGATATCTGTTTTGTCAGATTATAAAACAAAACTCCCATCAATTGCCCAAAGGCTACCATTCCAGCAGCAGAGAGAATAAATACCTTTACCATAGACGTATGTTTTGGATCATCAGATTTAGCACTTCAAAGATGTTT